TAGTCAGAATAACAGAGTTGGAAGGGACCTTGAAGGTCTTCTAGTCCAGCCCCTGCTCAGGCAAGAAACCCTATACCATTTCAGACGAATGGTTGTCTAGTCTCTTCTTAAAAACCTCTAGTGTTGGAGCACTCACAACTTCTGATTAATTGTTCTGCCAGGAAATTCCTCCTTAGTTCTAGGTTAAATCTCTCCTTGATTAGTTTCCTTCCGTTGCTTCTTGTCCTGCTTTCAGGTGCTTTGGAAAATAGGTTGACCCCCTCTTCTTTGTGGCAGCCCCTCAGATATTGGAACTCTGCTATTATGTCACCTCTACTCCTTTTCATTAAACTAGACATACCCAATTCCTACAATCATTCCTCATATTTTAGCCTTCAGTCCCCTAATCATCTTTGTCATTCTCCTCTGCACTCTTTCTATAGTCTCAACATCTTTTTATATCATGGCAACCAACATTGGATGCAATATTCTAAGTGTGGTCTTACCAACACAATATAAAGTGGTACTAACACTTCATATGATCTTGATTCTATCCCTCTGTTAATTCAGCCTAGGACTGTGTTGGCTTGTTTTGCAGCTGCAGCATACTGCTTACTGCAGTGATTGTCTAGTTTCTAATGGTTACCATTTGCAATCTTCTGTGCTGGCTTCCTACAAGCAAAGTCATTGGGGAGCCAGCAGGGAAAGTTAAAAGTTGTAAGTCACCCCCATTTTTTATCTCATCAGCCCACACCAGCCTACACAACTCACACCATGTGGGCCTCTCAAGCCCTTCCCCAACTTGCACACAGCATGCACCAGTCCTCCCAGGCCCTCTCTCAAGAAGGCACTGCTGGCCCTTTGTGAGACCACACCATGGCTTTCCAAACCAAAGGGCTAGCAGCTGCCTTGGCCAGGTGCCCCTTGTCAGTAATGGGAGGAAGAAGACCGCAAAGATTGGCTGAGGGGGGCAGCAGGGGTGGGTGATGGTGGCATGCAGGGTTCATTAAATTAGACATACCCAATTCTGGCAACCGTTCCTCATATGTTTTAGCCTCCAGTCCCCTAATCATCTTTGTTGCTCTTCTCTGTACTCTTTCTAGAGTCTCAGCATCTTTTTTACATCATGGTGACCAAAACTGGATGCAATATTCCAAGTGTGGCCTTACCAAGGCATTATAAAGTGGTATTAATACTTCACGTGATCTTGATTCTATCCCTCTGTTAATGCAGCCCAGCACTGTGTTGGCCTTTTTGGCAGCTGCAGCACACTGCTGGCTCATATTTAAGTGATCGTCCACTAGGACTCCGAGATCCCTCTCACAGTTACTACTATTGAGCAAAGTACCCCCTATAGCACAGGTCGGCAACCTGCGGCTCCGGAGCCGCATGTGGCTCTTTGAGCCTTCCCCTGCGGCTCCCAGCCTCCTCTGCCTTTGCAGAGAGAGACAGAGACAGAGAGAGGAATTGCACTTCCCTGCTTCTCTCTCTCTCTCTCTCTCTCTCTCTCTCTCTCTCTCTCTCTCTCTCTCTGTGTTTGTGGTTTTTTTTGGGGTGTGTGTGTGTATGTGTAAAAGAGCGTGCACTCACAGTGTTCTCCGAGGAGCTGAAAAGCTCACTGGGCGGAGCTCCTCCCTTTGCTGCATCTCTGCAGGAAGCAGGAAGGGCAGGAGAGAGCTAGCTAGCCCAGCTAGGCTGACTCAGGAATTCTGGGAGTTGAAGTCCATGAGTCATAAAAGAGATGAGGTTGCTTACCCCTGAGCTTGTTGGACAACAGCTTGAAGCTTGCCAGGTGAGCAGCAGATAGGAGGGGGGGGAGAGAGAGAGAAAGAGAGAGGGGGAGGGGGAGAGAGAGAGAGAGAGAGAGGAAAGAGAGAGAGAGAGAAAGAGAGTGGGGGAAGAGGAGTGGCAGACCAAGGGCAGATAGAGAGGGAGGGAGGGAGAGAGGACAGAGAGAGAGAGATCCTTTTGACATCTAAAATGAAGATAACACTGCATATATCCTTTTTTTACCTTTGTGTGTATGTAATTTTATTCTCTTAAAGCATTCTCTTGGTGATCATTGTTTTAATAGTATGGATATTCCCAAGAGTGATATTTTTACTTTTATTTTTAATGTGTGTGTATACACACACACACACACACACACATACACACCTATAATAAAGGTAAAAAAAGGATATATGCAGTGTTATCTTCATTTTAGATATCAAAAGGGTTTTGCGGCTCCCGGTGTTTTGTTTTTGGTGGGAAACGGGTCCAAGTGGCTCTTTGAGTGTTTTGGGTTGCCTACCCCTGCCCTATACTATACCTGTACATTTGGTTTTTCTTGCCTAAATGTAGAACCTTACTTTTTTCACCATTGAATTTCATTTTGTTAGATAACGCCCAGTGTTCAAGTCTGTCCACGTCCTCCTGTAGCTTAAGCCTGTCTTCTGGAGTGTTGGCTATTCCTGCCAGCTTGGTGTCTCAATATTAATTACATTTATATAGCTGAAAGTTTTATTCAAATCAATCCTCCTCTTATCTTCATATTTCCCGTATCAAAAAAAGGAAAAAATGCTGTCTTAATTCTAAATCATATCTTGCATTATAAAGGTCTAATTATATCTAAGAGTTTTCTATTTTTTTAATCTTATTCAAAGAAATATTTAAACATATAATGTCCCCTTTAAAAAGTCAAATCTTCTGTCTTTTAAAACTGAATCTCGCTTTTTTTCTTTGCTAAGTCGCTTTCCAAACCAGGCAATTAGATCACCCAAGAATTTTCTTTCCATTTATGTAAAAATTGCTTGGCATGAGGAAGATAATTTAGGTAGGGTATTTTTTGGAGGGGGGAATTCTACCCATTTATATTTCTTAATCAACTCCCAGTTCCTTTCTCCCTCCATTTCTCTTTTCAATACCTGTCTCCCAAGTTGTGACATTTTCCTTAACAGCTCTATATTCCCTTTTTAAAAATCTTTCCTTGCCATCACATATATTTTGCAGACCTGAGGGGTAAAAGGTCTTTTGCGTTTTTGTTGTTATAGCTAAATCTTGCAGTGTTTTGTTTGCATATAGTTGTTTGTATTTCCCCTCTTTTAATCTCTTCCATCTCTAAATCTATTTCCTCCATTTCGACTTCTGATTTCTGGATTGTTTGTTCATATTTTGTAGTTATCTGGGAGCTTTCTAGTTGTAGATTTAATTTGGAGATTTGGTCATTTATATTGTCTAAATTGTTTTTAGTCTCATTATGATTTCTTTTTATGTCCTCTTTGCATTCAGCAATTGTTTGGTGAATTAGTTGTAGCATAGAATATATTTCTTTCTGAAAAGTGTTTGTTTTTTCTTGAGGCATCATTCCTGGAGATTAATTTTCTGGTGTTTAATTGTATCCTTTATAATCCAGTAGATTCCAAAATATAGGTTCAGTTCTGAAAGCAATATTTTATAGTTATCCCTTGTCTCAAGTATCCCAAAAATTGTCAATCAAGCAAGATTGTAATCCACAGTGTTCGAAATGTTCAACCTCTCTGAAAACAGCTCAAAAGTCTCTCCCAGCCTGGTGTAATCCAAGGTCAAATTTTTCTTTGTCTCCCACTAGCTCTTAAAGTTAAAAATCCAAGCTCAGTAGGTATTTATAATCCAAGATGGTCAGGATGATAAGTATGCCAAAATATTTTCCTTTATTGCCAGCTGTTCTCCCAAGGTAGGAATCACCAAGCAAAGCAAATTATGATGCTATACACAAATCCACCACTAGATGTCATTCAAAGTCCATTTTCACTCTTAAAACAAGGGATTGATTTCTTATATTTCGCTTCAATGGGTTTTTTTCCAAAGAGAAAATCATAACGGTTATCTCAGTTTTCAAATTTATCAAAATTGTAGCTTTATGTTACTTACACTTCAATATTCTATGTTTCTGTCCCCCATAAAATTAAAATGCTGCTTCCATTTACATTCAGAGGTTTTTAGCTTCTTGGGAGCCTTTTCCAGGAAATTCAGTTGTAAAATAGTAAACAAAGGATCAATATTCTCACCCAGTTCCAAACATGCTGTTTACAATGTCTTAAGTAGTGCTTTTTTTCTCCTTCGGTTATCAGCAGCTAATGGCCAGCCACAGGAATGTAGCCGGTCTTTCCCCTACCAGTTTGGAGGGCTTTCCTTGGATCGAACTGAAAGACCGCCGTCTCTCCTTGATCAACAAGGCACCCCTCCTCTTCATCGCCTCTTCGATGCGATTTTAGGCCCTTTTCAAGGCCCCCAGCAGGGCGAAATCAAGTGCGGAAAGCAGAGCCCTGCCTTCCTGCGGCCCATCTCTCCGCAATGCAAATTGGAAGTCCCCAGTATATCTGTTCTGTTATAAAGTGCCAGAAGGGAAGTAATATATACATACATACATACATACATATATATGGGATACTTGTATTAATTGAGCAATTCGAAGAGGCTTAGCAAAATCAGCCAGTGGAAGATACTGTTCATCCTATTTTTAATTATTTCTAATTCTAGTATAGCATGCTTTATTACAGAGATGAAAAAATGTTTTACGGGTAGTCTTTGATTTATGACCTATTACTTAATGACTGTTCAAAAATACAATGGCTGCTCTCCCCCCCCCCACACACACACGATTGCATTTTGGGTGCTTGGCAACCAGCTCACCTTTACAGCCATTTGCAGCATCCCACAATCACATAACTTTGAAGGTATGGTTATGTTTACTTAGTTTTCCCTTCAAAGAACAGAAGAGCTTGGTTATTTAGTTCATGCTAGAACTGAAATTATTCTTCAGCACTCAAAGCTTTCTTCTATTGAGTTATAGAAGAGATCTTGATATACTTCAGATATTAAAGTGCTATTTTTAAAGCCCAGTCTTTAAAAGTTAAAAATAGTCTTTTAAGAAAATGCAACAGAGATTAGTACTTAGTTAAAGCTCATTAGCTTCTCCCAGGAAAAGAACATGGAAAGAGCAGGCTGGACATAGATTCATTCTTAGAGTGATAGTAGTAGAATTTCACAGTGAAGGGAACTGCAAGCTTAAAAGAAAGGCCATCACTTACCAACATGGAAACCTTTTACAACTAGAAGACTTCAATATATCAAACTGTTCTAATGAATTTGATGGAGCTTCTACTTCAGAGCAAGCAGTACTAATAGAAGATGTCAGTAATGGAGCTAGGAAAAGCTAAACTTCCTAGAACTGGCCTTAATGCTTTATACCAGGCTATACATCCAATATATGGGATTGCATGGACAGATGGCAAACAAGTTACATTGATACAATTGCATTTGCATGGCAAAGAATGGAGGTTTGGTGATTCAATTCTTATTGGTCAGTTTGAACATGTTCACGCACTTTATTGGAATGCATGCTATTCTGCCGACTTGCCAGCTCTGCTTGCTGTTCAGCATAAGAAGCATGTTAGCATTTGGCAGCTAATCCATAATGTTTTGGAAAAGAATAAGTTGATGGTTTTCCAGACTTGTGAAATTGTTGAGCCATTCCAGTTACTTCCTCAAGGCTGTGTGTGGCACCCAAAGAGGGATATTTTGTCAGTATTTACCAAAAGGGAGGCTTCTGTTTTATATGCAGTTCGTTTAGACAATTCCAAGGTTAAAGCAGACATTAAAAGCAGTGGACTCATTCATTGTGCTTGCTGGACCAAAGAGGGCAATCGTCTAGTTATTGCTATAAGCAGTTCTCTTCATTCCTATATTTGGGATGAGGCCAAGAAAACACTGAATGCTTGCACTTTTTGCCCAATATTTGATGTTGGAGGTTATATCTGTGCTATTGAAGCTACTTTGGATTTTCAAATTGCTGTGTCTACTGAGCTTCCTCCTGATAAGGTAAATGCTGGTATTACATCTGAATTACCGGGAAGTTTTGAAATGGATTTCATGTCTACAGATTCTTCACAGTCTACTCTGATGCTTGGGGACAAAGAATATTCAATGGATTCAAGAAGGAAGTCTTTTGATTCGGATAAATCAGTAGCAGTGCATTCTGTAGCTTCATCTTCAGGCCCAATTGATTTAACCAGTATCCTGGCAAACCACAGGAAACTGGATCGCAGTCATATTCCTTTGAGGAGGAAGGTTAGCCCTTCAGGAAGTGGTCAGTATTCCTCACAATTGATCTTGATCACTTTTGAAGGAAAGATAACCACAACTAGAAAAGTCAGCATTCCAGGCATTTTAGTTCCTGATATAATTGCCTTTGACCCTAGTGCTCAAATGGTAGCAGTAGCTTCTAATACTTGCAATATTGTTTTGGTCTCTTCAATTACATCATCCTGTATGCCCAACTTGCAAAGGATCCAACTAGACAGAAATGAACAACCCAAAGGTCTATCCTTTTTGACAGATAAACTTTTACTAGTTTTGGTTGGCAAGCAAAGATTCACTGATCCCACATTTATCCCTTCCTCTAATTCAGACAGATATATTGTCAGATTGCTGATGAAAGAATTAATATCTGGGAAAGACTCTTCATCAAAATCTGGGACTACCCAAACTTTGTCATTCATTTTTGAGCCTTCGGTTAGCCTCCCTGAGAAAAAAAGACATTTTAAGAACTTTGCTTCAGAGGATTGCATTGTGGAGCAGGAGCTCTCGAGACCAGCTAATGCTTTTATTCAGTCACCCAATAGAAGGAAACACAACCTGGAAGTGAGAAGTCCTAGTTATGAACAAAGGTCCCCATCCAATGTGTGCATTTTTTACGAAAAAGGAGCGTTGAGAAACTCATCCGTTCTAGAAACTTTGGAAGCTGAACCAATTAATCGGTCAGTGGCCTTGTTTGGTGCCGAAACACCTACTAGATTTTCCAATACATCGACTTCATCTAAAGGAGCACAAAAATCTTTAAATTCTCCTAAAAATAACATATTGGATAATGATAAAAGAGCAACTGAAATATCCATAAATCTGGAAAGATGGTATAGCAGCTTCAGTGACTTACATTTGAAACTCCTTGAATTAATAGAATATACTAAAAATGGGAGGAGATTATCTCTTGTCTACCCTTCTTCTCAAGAACCACCTTTCATATACATCAAATACCAGGTAATTGTACAATACTTTCCCTGTAAATTGTTTTGGCAATTTGGCACCAATTGAGGAAGTCTTTAAATTATTTAGCAGGCTGCATCATTTTGTGCTCAGTTTAAGTGTTGTCCAGGGAATAATGGCTGTTGTGACTCATATTTGGCTTTAGAGAAGTGAGATTTACACATTCTTTTCTGTTTGGATGATTGTCATTAATGTACCGTATTAGATGTCCAATTTGATTTTCAATTTGAGGGCATTAATTATAGCAATAAACAGTTAAGAATATGGTTTTTTAAAATAATTTTTGGAGAAACAAATCATTGCATCAGTATGTCAGTAATAGTACATGTTTAAAAGTTTCATTTATAGATTCAAAGGATTATGAAATATATTTGTTTACATAATGAAGAAATATTAAAAGCATAGGAATTCCGTTCTTTTTCTAACATCTTCATGCAGTACAAAAATTCCCTATGTATAAAAAAACACGAATTTTCCCACTGTCATGTCTTTATTTTCGTTCTTGCTGTTTTAATGTTTTCTAAAGCACATGATAGTACTGGAGACAAAGCCCCACCACCTCCAGTCTGATATTTTGCTTATTTCAAAATCTAAGAATGCAACATTAACCTTGAGTCTAAAAAAGGAAATTCAAACTTCTAGTACTCCTGTTAGATTCAAACACACACATGCAAATACCCCACTATACCTTTGCTGTTTTGCTTACAGGAGAAGAGGCTGGAGAAATTTTTGAGTAATTAACTTTTTCTTTAAAAGCATTTGTATTGATGCAGTATATATTTTGAAATTTTGGAATATGCTTATTAACGTATTGTTAACATATTTCACAGAACATGAAAAGAATGGAAGGAAAGGGTCAGGGGATATAAGGTTACATTGATTAGATTGATTAGAAATATTTATTTATTTATTAAATTGATAGGGCTGCCCACTTCAATTTCTGGTAGGTGTAAAGGAAATGTGGAAATTTAGGATCATTCTCGGTTGTTCCAATATTCACTCACCATAGAAGTGAAGAACTGATGAGGGGGAGGATAGAAGATGTCCTAAAGCTATCCTACTATGAAAGACAATTTCTGTGATTATACACGTGATTCCTTAAATATACAGCCACAAGCAGTTCATTTGCCTTCCTTTCCATTTTTCCTTTCCTTTGTACTTGGCTTCCTAAAAGTGGACATGCCCAAATGCAATCCATTTGGACATGCCCAAATGTTGTATCAAAATGTTAATTTTATGTAACAAAGTCTTTAAATGTATGCCTGATAACAATCTTATTAGCTGCATTGAATTTTGATTCAATATAAATGTAAATTACGCATTTTTTTTCCTCCAGTTCTCCCAACTCCAACTTTTTGTTTTAGCTTTCCTTGCACAGTACAAAATGATCATCCATGGATTTTGGATCTGAAAATGTTGCACATTTCTAAAGCCAAATAAAAACAAACTCATTTATACCACAAAGGTGCAAGGAAAAAGTGGTATCATACAATACTTTGATGATTTTTCTGTTTCAAGGAGATTTTAGAAGATGAAGATATTTCAGTGATCATAAAATGATCCTCCCCCCCCCCATGTCAACAGTGTATTAAAGGAGCAGAAAGTGACCTTAATAAAGCAAGTTAAACATACACAAATAGTGGAAGGCAGTGGAATAATAATTCCCCAAATAATTGGGGAAATCAATTGACTGAATCAAGAGAAGTGAATCACTGTAATTTGGCAAAGTCATATTTAATAACTGCAATCAGGAAAGCAGTTGGGAAGAAGACTGAAAACACAAGGTTATGAAAACCAATGAAGATGAATGTAAAATTGATGTTTTATAGTATATGGCATGTTGACGTTTGAAAAACAAAAGATAAAACAGTTTGAAGAGCTGGAAGGGCAATAATTAAAATAGGAGATAGTGAGTGCATAATTTTAAGCAAAGAAACAAGGATAAAAAAAATGAAGTTCTGAAATGAAGTTCACAATAAATGAAAATTCTGAATATATAAAAGACAGAGTACTGTATTTGTTATCCAAGACGAGAATTGTGTTACTTATTCTACATTTTCTGGTGCTAACAATTCTGTAGTTTGAAGTCTGATTAATTCTTAATTGTGATTCTATTCAGGGGATGGTAGTGTGACACCGATGGCGTTCTGTTTGGTAATGATTTTTTCACACTGATTAATAACAATTTGCATCAAAGTGAACAAACAGAATACAGGAAGAAAAAAGTCCAGAGGTAGGGAAATAAAGTACAACTCCCATTTTTTTTTCCAGATGTTGCTGAACTACAACTCCCAAATCTTTAGGCAGCATGAATGTATTGAGACATGTTGGGAGTTGTAGTTCTCAATGGAAAAAGATTGCTCTTTTCTTAAATGTTCAATATTTAGATCTGAATCAAGCAAGAATGCTTTATATCTAATATGGGCACCCTCAGAGTTCTGCAACAACTGACTTATGATAGTCTGGATGTCACAACAGCCTTTTTAATATCTCCCCATGTCTAACATCAATTACCTTACTTATGCTAATGATTGTAACCACTCACCTTATGTACTAAAATCCTCTAGTACTTAGCTAACCCTGGGTGCACATAGTCAAAGAGATCCCATTATTCCCTGCAGGGGCCAGGCATCCAGTGAATCTTCCATTAGAAGATGTGATTGCTAAGCATCAGGCAGCTCTGAGCAACTGAAAATCACCATTGTTTTTACCTTACAATTACTTCTTTCCTCATCTTACCATTCCCTGTCCCAGACTCTGATTTGAATTGAAAGAATCTTCATTTGCATTTTTGTATTCAGTACCTTTAGTTTCACATTGCTATAAAACAAACTCTTGGGATGTAAACAAACACTGGGATTAAGCTGTCAGTAAATGGGAAGAGTTCACTCACTGTATCTTAAAGAAGCTGTCCCCCTCCCTCCAAGGTTTATGTGCTATTTGTTGAGGCTCAGGAAAATACACATTTCAGTTAAGGAGCTAGTGGCAGGACAGCAAAATAAAGAAAAAGGAAAAATTGGGGATGGATGATAACTGTTGTGGTTGCAAAAATACACCACCTCTTTCAATAGTGCTGTTTTGATTTTCTCCTCAAGGAAGTATTCATAGCTGCTTGAATACTGTGCCTCATCTCCTTCCAGCAGGTTAGACAACCTGGGATCAGTAAGGATCAAGCCCCCAAATGGTGAAGCCCTTTCCACAGAAAATTCTGTCCACTTTTTAGGAATTCACAAATTCAAAGGAATGCTAGACGACTTCACAAGTTCCTCTCTCATGAAGCTGTTGAGCAAACAATGATGTGTTTTCATCAGAAAAATGCCTAGCAAAAAATCTATGGCCCACCACTTTCCAACAGAGAATACCTAATCTTAAAACAGCACATTGGATAGCACACTGCAGACTCAATCAAGGCAGAGAAATATTGGTGCTTAATGTTTCCTAAAGCACAAGATAGTACTGGAGACAAAACACCACCATCTCCAGTGTGATAAGTTGTTTATTTAAAAATGCCAGAATGCAACATTAATCTTGAGTCTAAAAAAATAAATTCAAGATTCAAGTTCTCCTGTTAGATTCAAACACACACAAGCATATACCCCACTATCCCATTGCGTCTTTTCCTTGCAGAAGAAGTTGAGTTGAGAAATGTTGCAAATTCCAATTGACATAGAATATGATGAAATGTGTATTACAGAAAATGAAATCCTAGTGAGTACAAAATAGTTTTACTACCTTATGTAGTTATATGTTATAATTATTGCAGTAAAAACAAACCATTGAAAATAATATAATACTGGGTGATGACTAATCTTGTTAAGGATATCTATTAGTAATATCACAACATACCCTCTACAGTCAAAGTTACCCCACATGTAGATTTCACTTTATTATTCTGGAAAAAAAATCTGACATGGTAATCTAATATGGTAATCATTGAAATAAGAATTGGTTCACACATTGTGCTAAGCCATAAATTCGTTTCACTGGTTCTGACTTAGCATGTTGTATAAAACATGCTCTTCTATAACCACACAAATGAAATTAACTAATGCTGTTTCATTCTAACAGAAATGAACAAGTGAATTTTATGTTATTAGATATAGCTAGATACATTATATTTGCTGTGTTATGTATCTCAAGTGGTTTGTTTTCCCTAAAACCCGTTTCTTATCTTGCTTCTTGATTTACCTCTTTTTGTGCATGTTTTCTTGCATTCTCTCCCCTCATTTGTTTTATTTCATTCCCAGATGTAGATTTCATTACATGTAGCTCCTTAGGGAATTGAAGGAAGTGATTGTGTACTTTCCCTCTGTTTCTGTTATACTGTAATGCTACAATATTTATGACTAAACTCAGCCAGTTATATTTTGATTGGGCTCAAATATTGCGCAGTACTATAATGTAGTTTGGCCCATTTTTGCATAATGTGTATTGTCTGATTCCAACCATTGTGGTTTGTAAGCCACGGCTGTGGGATTTGTGCTGTACCTGAATACAATTGAGGTTGATTCAAATATTATTATTTTTATTCCCTGTTTTCTCAAGACTTTACAGGAGTAAAATAAGAATACATGCATGGCATGAGAAAATAAAAACATCTAAATATATAAAAGGAATCAATATTGTAGCATCACATCTCAAATGCTCTCTGGAAGAGCTGTTTTCAGCTGCTTCCACAGGGCAGTTAAAATAAGAGTTAATGATCTCCAATAGGAGGTAATACCTCCCAAAAGTGGGGGGATTGCCAGCTACTTTTCCTGGCAAGATCAAATTGATTGGGCTACTAGACCAGGGCTTTTCAACCTTTTCACCCATTGTACCACTTTTAGGATATGGCAACATCCGAGTACCACCAGTCGCCTAGCAAGGTGTCAAAAACTTGATGACAAAAAAAAAAGAAAAAAGTGATAAAGTACAGGTAGTCCTCGACTTAACAATAGTTCACTTAATGACTGTTCAAAGTTACAATGGCACTGAAAAAAGTGCCCCCCCCCAAGCACAGCCGAGCATGGCACCTGCCTGCCCGCCCGGCCACGCTCTTCCTCCTGTCCGAGGTTTTCATTGTTGTGAGCATTTCTGTTGAGGATTGGCAGTGGGGGTGGGGTAGGGGAGTGTTTGGTTTTTATTCCCCCCCGGCTGCTGGGTGATTGCAGCAGGTTTTGGTCACTTCACATGACCCTGGGACACTGTGACCGTCATAAATATGAATCAGTTGCCAAGCATCTGAATGCAAATCACAAGACCCTGAAGATGCCGCAACATTCCAGCTGATCGGCACTTCTTCTGGGCTCAGAAGCACCAGGATCAGTGACGAGCTCCAACTGGAGCCTGGCGCTGATCCTGGCTCTTCCGCTGAGCCCTAACAGCCCTGCAGCTCCAGCCATCTCTTGTTCAGGCTTGTGCGGTGCTGCCACCGGTTCAGCTCATTCCCCTCCCCCGCTACCACTTTTCTAGGATGGTCGCGTACCACTTGCCAGGTGCCAATGTACCACAGGTGGTACCCATACCACTGGTTGAAAAGCCCTGCACTAGACATTACACAGTATCCAATATTTTCAAATATTATTTCAGAGCTGCTTCAGTCTTACATCTCCATATTGCTTCATGATTTCATGGGGTTATCTTATGAGTAGACATGTTTGGTTGCTTCCTACATGAAGCACCCTACCTGTTTTGTGTTTCTGAGAATAAGCTGAGCAGATTGAATGACTGATTTCAAATATCACCAATATTTTAATAATAGATTTATTTTTTTTATGCATATGTGCCTTTAGAAGCGTTCTTCAAATGCAGCAATAGTTGAAGAAACTCGCAATGTTCTACTATACAATGGCAAAATCCATTTGAATTTAGTCCAGCAACTTTTTGATCTGCATATTGTTGAAATGAAACACGGCAAGTCTTCTTTATTATTTAATTGTTTTATTGAGAACTAAATTTTGGGAACCTGAGTTACACGGATTTTTTTCTCCATAACCCAGCAGTACAATGGTCAATTGACCTTCGTTCCTGATATATTAATGTAGAAAATGGATTGGAAATACAGGCAATTCTCATTATTTGCAGTTCTGTGAAAATGCTGCATATATTAGCAAATTAACAAATGCTGAAACCTAAGTTGGGAGCCTGCATGTTGGGCAATTCTGATTGTTTTGCAGTCCCACATGTCAGCAAATAAGCATGACATTGCTGTGAATACAGATTTGGGGATACGAAAAACATTTTTTTTCAGTAAGCCAATTCACAAATATAGAACCAATGAATAACAAGGATTGCCTATAAATTGATAGCAAGGTAACACTTTTTCTAAATTAATTAAGCAACTTTTCTAAATTAATTAAGCAACTTCACCCCTGCTCAAACCACATGATAATTTAGTGCCCAATAATGCCCAATAAAGCTGCCCTTTTGTATCATAGCAATCTTATCAATTCACTAATGTTTAGTCAAATCTAGCCCCATGGTAGTATTAAAGAGAAAAGCATTGTTTTAAAATAAGTGGCTGCAAACTGATGCTAAGCCATATGTGACTTGCTTTGTTTTGGGTTAGCATGCAGCCTAAACTCAGCCAAACTATGGTCAAAACAATGATTCACTACAATACATAAATGCAGTTTTAATCTTTAACATAGCTGATAACAATTGCACAATAAGCTTTCTTCTTGTTGCCTCTCCTTAAATGATTTAAAATCATAAGAAATAATTTTACTAGGTTTACTTAAACTTCCCAATTTATCAAAAATGCATACATAAGCGAGAATAGCTCCCTTATGTACAACATCCCACTTTAACAAGAACTTAGAATATAGTTTTTAAAAGATAGTATTTAAAAATAATTAAAAGAATTCTTTTCAGTAATCAAGAAAGAAATTCAGATTGTGAGTTTATTGTGCTCTCCAACATTTTACTTTTCCCTAGAAACTAAAACAAAGGGGATACACTATAAATATTTAATATTCTTTTCAGATGTAACGCTCAAATGTTAAAGCTTTCCATTATTCTTTTAAAAAGTTGTATATTACAGTAATTAAAATATATTCACAAGCTTTTACTTAGCTAACTATTTTATTTCTGCAACAAGAGATAACTTCATAGAAAAATATATCAATATAATATATATATTTATAATATGCAAATATCATATTAGAGTCAGATTGTCTTTTTGTAAGTATCAAAGGTGAAAAAATAATTCACTGTGTTATCCACTTTGGCTTCAAACTGAAACCAGACATGTAATTTTTGTAACACTATTGAAAAAAATCTATTAAATGAAGCACAAAGGATTATATACAGATGCACACTTAATATTTAGACAAATGCTTGTATATTTAACTTATGTATGCATCTTCTGACATTTTTTCCCTTGTCCCTAGGTCCTTCCTGGATAGTTCTTACTGAAGATGGTGAAGGTTTTATTCCAGTAGCTTTTAAAGCAAAGCAGGAGATCATCATAAGGGATGGCAAGGATAATTTTGATCCCCAAGAAAGTTATGCATTCAAAGCAAATTTTTCATCATAACCAACAAGCATGATAAGACAGTCAGGAAACAAAAAAAACATATTCTGGAACATAAAAGAACTGAAAATGTTAGAATATGATTACCAAGACTTTCAAGTGTATTTTAACTGCAATTTACAAGAGTTGCCTAGCAGTGTATTTTCTCTTCAGTGGTTTACTCTACATCAGACATGTCAAACTAGCTACGTCGCATGACGTCGCGCGACGTATCGGAGCTTTTTTGCCATTGCCGGCAATGGGGTGGGTGCGGCTCCAGTATGATGAAACCGGCCCGCGGGCCAGCAGTTTGACACCCCTGCTCTACATTAAATAATCAGGATGATTCTCAACATTAAGAAGGGAATGCTGGATTTAAAATAAGGTCATGCTAAAGAATAAGCTCTGAAGCCAATCTGATATTCTGTGCAAAAAAATCTATCAGATGTGTTTATTTAAAGTTAGTACCACCTTTAGGGAACTCTGCAGATAAACAAACCATATATTATTTTTAAAATAACAACATAATACAACTGTTTAGCCTTGTTCCACTTAGCATGGGAAATACTATAATGAAAGCAACAAATATTTGGATTCTAAGTGACTGTGAGTGGAATACTGCTCCTAAACTATTTCCACAGATCAAAAAATGGAGGCATTTTTCATTCCCCCCTTTTAGTCCCCTTGAAAATCTTTGGGAGGGGCATTAAAGGATTCTACAGGATAGATAACAGAATATGGGAAGGGATCATATTCATATTAGAGATTTTTTAAAAAAATAAATTAAATTGCAGATGCTAAAAGGCTATTCTTAATTGGACCCTGAGGCTTTTAAACTGGATTTACCTTATTGTGGCTCTAACACTGTTCAGAGTCCTGCTACCTATTGTACTAGGAAAAAGCTTGTATTGGAGGGAACGGCAAGAGCATGCACAGGTCCTGCTATAATATATATTGTATATAAATATCTCAGATATTTACAATACCTACACATGGGCGCATTAGTACCTATTAGTAACTACCCAAATGATTAACTCCGTCACTCCATCTTTTCCAGATATTTTCCCATATACAGTATCTAAACCAGCGGTTCTCAACCTATGGGTCGCAACCCCATTTGGGGTCGATCGACCATTTTTCGGGGGTCGCCAAAGAAGGCGATCCGCCATTTTCTCCCCTCAGGGGGCGCCGCCGTGCATGGGGGCGGCGCCGCGCATGCGCAGAATGTTTGTGTGACGGGGGTCGCCGTCACACAAACGTTGAGAACCGCTGATCTAAACTGTGCTTTTAAAAAAAACATTTGCCCAAATGCTATTTGTATAAACAGTGGTGCTTAAAAGTTTGTGAAGCCTTTTGAATTTTCAATGTTTCTGCATAAACATAACCTAAAATATGATCTGTTCTCCACGTCTTAAAGCTAGGTAAGGAAAATCCAGTTAAATAAATGAGCCAAAAACCTGTTATACCTGTTCATTTGTTCATTGAGGAAAATGATCCCAAACTATATATTTGTGAATGGCAAATGTCTGCAAACCTCTAGGATTCATCTAAAGAAGTAAGGGATTTCTTGCATTGGTAAATGTGTTCGTGGCAACACTGAATAGCAATTGTGTGCATGGCAGGTATTAGGAGAAAGCCATTACTCTCTGAAAGGAACATTGCTACTCATCTAGTTTGTGAAAAATCACATGGTTAAGCAAGAAGGCTATTGGAAGAATGTTCTGTAGAAGGATGAGACTAAAATAGAACTATGTGGCTTAAATGAAAAGCACTCTATTTGGTGAAGGATAAATACTGCATTCCAATGCAAGAACCATACAGTAGAGGCACTATCATGATTTGGACTTGCTTTGCCCCCTATGGACCAGGATAACTTGCCATCAATGGAATTATGAAATTTTGAAGGAAAATGTCAGGGTATCTGTCTATGAACTGAAGCTCAAGAGAAAGTAGGTCATGAGGTAGGACAATGACCCCAAGCACATCAACCATTATTCAAAAATGATTAAAGCAAATATAAGTTATATTTTGGAATGGCCAAAATTCTGACCTTAATCCTAAATAAAATGTTAGAACCTGAAATAGGCAGTTCATGTAAAAAAGCCGATCTAAATCCCCAGTTCACATTTTCTCTAAGGAGGAAGGAGTAAAAATTTCTCCAAGCGTATGTGCAGGACTGATCAAGTATTATTGGAAATATTTGTTGCAGTTATTGCTTCCTAAAGGGGGTGGGGGCACACCAGTTACTGAAAGCAAAGGCTAACATATTTTGCCCCACAAATATATAGCATTGGGTCAATTTCTCAATACAGTAAATCAATGCACAAGTATATTTCTGACTCATTTGTTAATTAGGTTCTCATTAATTTTGAACTTGTGTGGAGAACACATCATATTTTATGTCATATTTATTATGAAATATTGAATATTCAAAAGCGTTCACAAACTTAAATACCACTGCAGCAAGCTGAAGGATAAATGGCATAAATTGGTTTCTGAGGGGGTTTCCAGCCTTTTTGTCGCAAGGGGGCGTTTATTAGATCACACACAGACCAATAGAGAAATAGAGTTCCGGTGACGTCACATCATAGGCAGGACAGGGGATGCGTTGCGTATAGGCTTGGATCCCGCCTCCTTTTTTTTGTTTAGCCTTTTCGGAAAGCCTCCGCCAGCAGCGTCCCTTGTGGCAAGACGGGGTAAGTCCATGTGGTGCTACCCGACAGACCGAGAGGCTGGGGATTCCGGCGGTAAACTGAGCACCGAGTGGGCGTGAGAAGAGGTTGATATCGTTACACAGAGGGGCAGCTGGATCGCGTGTTTAGAGAGGTAAATGGGGCTGGAACCACACGGGCGCGATCGGAGGCGGTGCTAGACCCAAAGGCGGCCGTGTGGCGTCAGAAACGGAAGGAGGCTCAGCAAAAGAAGCCCAGGCACTTGCCCGTGGGGAAGATAAAAGGGCCAAGGGTGGGAAATGCAATGAGAAATTGCTCCCTAAGACCCCGAATCCGCCTTGTTCGGTCCCTTTTCTTTCTGCTTAGCCGGTCTTTAGGCTTCTGACCGGACTACAGTTCCCATCTGCCCCGTCACTAGTTAACGCCGGTTTCCTAACGTGAAGTTTTATCCCAACAAGCCCTGGGGACCGAGGTTTTAAAAGGTCTATCGCCACGGGTGGCCGTGGCGATAGACCTCCCCATCGTCATCTCCCAGGTAGTGGTCAAGGAGAGCCTTCGTCGAAAAAATAAGGTGGCCACATCTTGAAAGATTGAAGCCTGCAAACGACAGATTATATTTAGCTTGATGTCTGTATATTTCCATGGCTTTCACCCCCATTACAACTCACCGTTATTCTGAGATCTTTTTGGAATTTATCCCAGTCTTGAAATGTGGTGGGGGTGATGTGAGCAGGCATTTTTTTTTCTATTGGAAAATACTGTTGATTAAATTGGATTACAAATAGTCCTCGACTTACAACACTTTGTTTAGTGACCATTCAAAGTTACAGTGGCACTGAAAAAAAGTGACTTATGACCGTTTTTCAAACTTACAACCCTTATGGCATCCTCATGGTCACATGATCAAAATTCAGACGCTTGACAACTGGTTCATATTTATGACGGTTGCAATGTCCTGGGGTCATCTGATCACCTTTTGCAAACTTTTGACAAGCAAAGTCTATGGCGAAGCCAGCTTCACTTAACTGTTATTAACAACTGCAGTGGTTCACTTAACAACTGTGGCAAGAAAGATTGTAAAATGGGGCAAAACTAACTTAACAAAGGTCTCCCTTAGCAAGATAAATTTGGGGCTCAATTGTGGTCGTAGGTTGAGGGCTACCTGTAATCATAATTTGATACAAAATAGACGTGTGTGTCATCGTAACCCAGTTCATTTTTAAACAAGGAGAGAGAATATTTGGCTGTCCAGATGCTAAACTAAAAATCTCTCAGCATCACCCAAATTGACTGCAACTGTTGGAAGTTGTACTTCACTAACAGCTGAAGAATCGCATTTTCCTGTTCCCGAATGAGCAAACTCTTTGACTTAAATTAAATAGAAATATTCCTTGTAACTGATTAGAAATACTAATTGAGGGCCAGATATGGGATCCCCTTTATGTTTTCAGTATCCAGAAAATGCTCCTCTGAAATCCAAGTAGCAAAATAGATTTCTGCAGTGTGATTGTGGCCCACTGATTTGACTTATGGGATGATTTTAGGATGACAATGGGGATGAATTGCTTTTGCTAGGCCTCTTGTTCTCACATCACCCTTATAGTGTCCCATAAGTCAAAAACAGGCTGATCATTTTCTGCCATTCTTTTTCCAATATACCAAAATGTTACAGCATAGAGCTCCAGAAGAATTCAGATACCCACTGTTGCTTTTTTTCTGAACTACAAAGCGGTGAATGCTCCAACACTGGAAGCTTTTAAGAAGAGACTGGACAGCCATTTGTCCGAAATGGTGTAGGGTTTCCTGCCTGAGCAGGGGGTTGGACTTGATGACCTCCAAGGTCCCTTCCAACTTTATTATTATTATTATAAATTCATGGAAAGGAAAATATGTATTTCTTATAAGGTATATCTTTATATGGAGAACTGCTGACCTGCTTTTTTCCCCTGTACTAAAATGTGGCTATCAAATTCACTTGAGACAATTTGTTTACTTAAAACATTGAGAACCTAAATCAGGTTGAGTACCAATGAATCACTTTAAAGAAGCTCAACAAAAGCCTCAATAGAATAAATAAACAGTACCAATTATAAAATGTTCATAATTTGCCTTCACTTACTTTTATGGCAAATTAGCTAATAATTAGTTAGTAATTTGTTTTCTTTGCAGATGTATTCCATGAAAACTTAAACATGGAGCTGGGGAAAGGGAAGCTCTTGAGGACTGGCCTTAATGCCTTACACCAGGCCATCCATCCTGTGCATGGGATTGCTTGGACAGACGGAAAGCAAGTGATACTGACTTCTTTATACCAGCGTAATGGAGAACCTAACTTTGGCAACTCAAATGTTGTGGGTCAATTTGAACACGTTCATGGACTTTACTGGGGTCCGTTTTGTGCACCAGATGCTCCTGCACTTCTTGCCATTCAGCACAAAAGACACATTACAATGTGGCAACTCTGTTACAGCAGTTCAGAACAAAACAAGCTGATGGTTTATCAGATCAGTGAAATCAGCGAGTTGTTTCCTATACTTCCCCAGGGTTGTGTGTGGCATCCCCAAAAAGAAATTTTAGCTGTGCTCACTACGCGAGAAACTTCTGTGCTCCATTCAGTGCGACTCAATAACTCCAGAATCAAAGCAGACATCAAAGGTAGTGGTATCATTCATTGTGCTTGCTGGACTGAGGAAGGCAAACGTTTGGTGATTGGGATAGGTAGCACCCTCCATTCCTACATGTGGGATGATGATCAGAAAACTTTAAATGCTTGCTCCTTTTGTCCAATATTTGATGTAGGGGGTTATGTTTGTGCAATAGAACCAACTATGAGCACTCAAGTGGCAGTTGCTACTGAACTGCCACTAGACAAGATCTGCAGCTTAAATGCTGGTGTTTCATTTGAAATCCCAAGTGAAATTATTGAAAATCCAGTTCCTTCCCAAAGTAGCACATTGGAAAATGATGGTGATGCCTCTGTAGATAATGGGGAAAAGTTAACAGACCAGGAAATTTTTGCATCATCCCCAGTGGATTTGACTCATCTCCCTTCAGGTAAACAGCAATCTGAAAACAGTCCCCTCATTAATCTACGATCCAAAGATTACTTAACTGGAAGTGGTCACGATGCATCACATTTCATTTTGGTGACTTTTGAAAGAAAGGCGACAACTAGCAAAAAAGTGAGCATCCCAGGTATCCTGGTCCCAGATATCATGGCTTTTGACTCTAAAACACAGACTGTGGTAGTCGCTTCCAATACCTGTAACATAATTTTGACTTATTCCTTAATTTCAACACTCCTCCCTAACATTCAACAAATTCATTTGGAGAAGAATGAGCGGCCAAAGGGGTTGTGTTTCCTAACAGAGAAACTGTTGCTGATCCTGGTTGGAAAACAAAAATTAGTGGATCCTGCTTTTCTTCCATCTTCACGCTCAGACAAGTACATTCTCCGCTTGATAGTCAAAAAGATCACCTCTAG